AGCCTTGCTGGCTGGGGAATTCTGGGAGTTGAAGTCCACACAGCTTAAAGTTGCTGAGGTTGAGAAACACTGGGTTAGAGCAACAGATATTTTCCTCCGTGTAGTATACATCTCTACAATATAGATGTGGACTCCACAGGTCATCCAAGCTCCATGCTAATGGAGGTTCTTCCAGTTGGGATCCACAGATCCATTTTGTCGCCGGCCAAGGTTCAGGAAGGGGACCTCGGCTTTCAAGCATCTAGAATGGCTTTCCCCAGTGATGCTCCTCATCCTGGCCCCACCGAATGGAGCTGGAGGCAGAGGAAGGCAAGAACATCTGGGGGGCTCCAGGTTGGAGTCAACGGATCCAGGTTGACTCCGCACTTGGGGACGGTGCTCTGTAGCTGAGAAGGGGTTGAAGTCAGCGATGGTGTGAATCTGGCAAAGAGGGAGCTGGGACAGTCCGGGTTGGCTAATTAATCCGCGTCCCTCTGCTTAGTGATTCCGCTTCCACGAAGATGCCTTACATCAGCCGTCCCCAACCTGCCACCCCGTGGACCTTTTGGGCCTACGATTCCCAGAATTCCCCATGGCTGGCTGAGGAATTCTGGGAGTTGTAGTCCCCAGCCCTCTGGAGGGTCCAGGTCGGGAAAACTGCCTTATATTTTACATTCCATTTTCTCAGTCTGAACCCGAGAAGCTACCAGCAATCCCTGGGGGAGCTCCTGGAACTGAAAGGACTCCGTGAGCTTGTATTCCGTTTAAATTCAGCTGCAAAATGTTGGGAAATGCAGCCACCAAAGATAGAGCGTCATCAAGGTTGCCAGTGTTTGCATTTTTAGGGAGAGGAGGGGGCCACAGAGAGGAAGAGGCAGGCTGTTTTCAAAGAATGCCTATAACAAGAAGGTTTAGAAACTTGGGGGGGTTGGTTTTTTTTAAGAAAAAGGAACTTCCACTTTTCCATTACAACCAGGCCATAGAATCTCTGCTTGGGTTGGGTGGGTTTTCACTCATTTGCACCCATATCACCCATCAACCCCAACTGATAGGGGGCGGGACTCCCCGGATATTCTGTTTGTGCTCAAGCCTCTTTCTAGTGATTAGAAATTGCTTTGATGCTGCTCCCGTTCATCACTTTAATCATTTCTCCTGAAGGTCATCTCTCTAGTCATCCATGATTAATGGGGCTCAGAATCAGGATAGGACCCACCCATGATCTATTACCGCTCCGTCTCTGGGGAGCATTCTCCCATTGGGGGCACTTGAGATGAGTTGGGTGCCGAGCCTGGCCTTTGTAGTCCCATGTGTTAGAGCAGTGCCAGCTTGGAGAAGGCTGCATTGGACAAGAAAACATCAAAAGAAGTATAAAACAGGGTAGGTAGGGGGGAGAAAACTGATTTCACATCACTTCTCACGCACTGTACAGGCAATCCTCATTTAGCGGCCATTTGCAGTTACGACGGCAATGAAAAAGTCACTTTGCGACCAGTCCTCCCATTGACGACCTTTGCAGGTCTGTAAAGCAAAGGAAAGCTGAAGGAAGGTCGTAAGCACAGTTGTCGTTTCACTTAGCGACCAAGTTGCCAGTCCCAATTGTCGCTAAACGAGGACTACCTGTAAATCCTGGATTTGATTGGGGTGCACAGAATGGGGAATTGTTGCTCTTTTTTCCTTGGGGAGTCCTTGGTGCTCTCTGAGCTCGGTTGTCTTTTTTTCTTTCCCACATTTCTAAGTTTCTGTTAAAGTCATGGGAGCAAAGCTAGCATACAAAATTGGCAACCTGTCAGGAAACGTGGGCTCGCCCAGTTTAGAATCCTAAACTGGTAACTAGGATACCAGCTTAAATCTTTGTGCGTGCACACAGTGCACTCAAATTGGTGACCGAGTCCAGGCGGTTTTCTGTGTTTGCACAATACAGTCAACCCTCAATGAACAGACAGGCTGGCTTTGCATAACATGTTAAACGACGACAATAAACCATCCAAGCTGGGCAAGGGGTTGGGCTAGGTGATCTCTAAGGTTGCTCCCAACCTGTACATTCTAGAGGTCAAAGTTGTGCAAATGCAGGCGCTCGGATTTTTCCTGACTCGGTTAAGCCTATTGTGCAAACGCAGCCCGGAAGTTACACGTGGATTTTGAGTGGAACGCTGGCAGGCCGCTTTTGCACGATTTAAAAGTGCAGCAGCAGCCCTTTGACCTGTGGGGGAGTCCATCTTAGAGCAGCTGGGGGTGAGGAGGAAAACAGAGAAACGCACTCTGTACGTGCTCAGTTGGACAACGGTATATTTAGCGCTTACATGATTGCTTCCACTGCGGGTCGGAAGTCTGCCCTTAAAACCAGATCCAGGCTGACGTTAAACAGAGCTCCAGTTTCTTCTCCTTTTTTTAATTCCTTCCCAAACGTTTTCTCCATTCCAAGTTTATTTTGGCCATGGTGATTTTGCTAATTATATATCCTAATCTTAGAAACCCTGCTGCTCTTCTAGGTCTCCCACACTCCCCGCTGATCTTGGGACAAGACCTGTTGCAAACGTGGCTTGTTGTTCTTTGCAAAAAATCTCGGGTTGTTTAGATCAGGGTTTCTCAATCTCAGCAACTTCAAAATGTGTGGACTTCAACTCCCAGAATCCCCCAGCCAGCCGGCTGGGGGATTCTGGGAGTTGAAGTCCACACATTTTGAAGTTTGGATGATTTACATGAAGGTATGGTGGCTTGCAGAGGAAGCATTCTCTTGGAGGGGTTTGGGCACCCTGGCCCGTGGAGTGACCGATTCTCACCTTTACAGCTCCTTATCTTGCCCAGGAAAGGCTTAAGGACATTCAAAAGCCCCAAAGCCACCAAGCAGTGGGATTTACAGTGGTCTGGACAGATCTTGTGCCCCTGTTTGAATTGTGCAGAG